GCATGGCTAACTCACAGATCAAACCCTGAAACAACCTCTAGGCTGACTGACTAAGTCAGGGCACCGCTGTTGTCCTCACGTATAACCTAGCTAAAAACCCTCGAATCAATGGAGATGTCTAACTAACCTTTTAATCGTTTAACTAACCTTTTAACTAACATTTTATTACGCTTTATCGAACAAACAACAACAGTTGGAAGTAATCAAGAGTTGCTCAAAGATACCAAGAATTTCGTTTCCTTGCAAAATACGTGATTTACACCATACAATCAACACTAAAATTAACCAAAAATTTATATTTACCATAAGGCACATGTACGATGGGTGGGAAAATGGATGGATAAATAGACGTATGGCATAGGACTATAGAATAGAATGTTTTGGGAGGATGGATGGATGAATGAATGAACGAACATTTCTTCCGTCATTAATTCATAACGAACGATATGTTATCAAGATGATCAAGATTATCCTGATTCATGGAGGTGATTGAGAAAAGGAGTGAGCAAACGACATCTATCTACTTCACTGATAATGAACCATGATTTCACACAACCATTGGACAATATTCTTATGATTTTGAGCCGGGTGTCGACGACCGTGCGTTGATGATAATCTTTCTTCCTTTGTTTTTCCATTTCACGATATCATTAAGCGCTTGATGAAACTATTGATAAACATTTTATCAAAATTTAAAAGTAATGATATGTGTAGGATTTCATTGACTAGATCCAATCGATGATTTGATCAATCAAGAAAAAATATTTTCAACCAACCAGTAATGGATCACCATGGAAACCAAACATCCCGGATGTAATTTACATAAAGTCGTTAAAAAAGAAAATCCTTAAGAGAACTTGTGGACTATTAGTTGACTTCAGATTGATTCAGAGCCGAGTTTCGCCACCGAGAGCAAACTATATACAAGTCTATCAGAGAAGTGAGTAAGTGAGCATATTCGGTAGTTAATTGCGAGCTGCACGCTGAAATCGCATCGCTGCCGTCAATCAAAAATGATCGGTCGGAACTTTTATGTTCTTGACTGGCGGCAGTGAATTTAATTCAATTCACAACAAGACGTTGGAATGCCTGAGTTAGAATAATATGGAAAACCGCTGTTTGACAAAGAGACATCAGTTTTTTATGTGTCTGTCCTCTTATTAACGATAAATTTCGTCATCACATTGCCAAAGTAGATCCGCCGAGTGGATCCGCATACTACTTTGACAATGTCATTAGGAAATTTATCGTCAATAAGAGAACACGCATAAAAAACTAATGTCTTTGTTTTTTTACAATAACAAAAACGATAAAACTACTTCTCATCTTTGGTGATCAAAACGACCAACGGAAAAAGCGCACGCTCGTTGACGTCAGCTTTATCTGTCCGTCCTCCTTTTGATGTCAAAAAATAAGAAATCAGCGCGCGAGAAATTTTTTAGTTATTGTATAAAAAAGCTTTCGCCGGAGATATCTCATTGTCCACAACATTTACAGATTTACAAAAAACCTTTTGTCATATCTCAATGTCAACGTTTCTTCACAGTAGGTTGGGAGTTTTTTATCTTTATGATGGACAAACCTTTTGATAAATGTGAACTTCGTGAAAATGTTAATATTTTAAAACCTTCATTTTCTCAAAAATTTTAAGCCTAAACTTTCTAGTAATRAATGTTGAAATAAAATTATCAACTAAAAACTGCAAATTCGGCATGAAAATGTTATCACGATCCACACGATCCACACGATCCAGTTTATCGAAGTCCAGTCCATTCCAGCTATGTACGGTTCCAGATTTTCCAAAATGAAAAATCTCTCAAAATTAAGGTTTTTGAATCATAAATCGAACTATAGAGGTTGCACAAGTTTTTCCAAAAAAAAAAAAAAAAAAAAAAAAAAAAAAAAAAA